ACATTACACGCTATTCAGTACAAATGGGCTTCATTGGTCACACCGACATCCATCAGTAAGGATACACACTGGTAATGAATGCCCTACACTTGTCGACAAAACCTGGCAAAAATACCGCGGACATCATCAACCAGTTCACCACGGTTTTTCAACCTGGATTGGGACACTGTTCTACGACACAGGCCACTTTTCGCCTTATGCCGGACGCCAAACCGGTCTTCCTTCCAAAAAGACCAGTCCCATATGCATCATTACCGCTGGTTGACGCTGAATTAGAACGTCTTGAACACGAAGGCGTCCTATCCCCCGTCTCATACTCAGCCTGGTCGGCCCCAATCGTTGTGGTAAAGAAGGCCAATGGTTCAATCCGGATATGCGCAGACTTCTCCACTGGTCTAAATGCAGCTCTGGAATCACACCACTACCCTCTACCGGCCCCAGAGGACCTATTCACAATTCTGAGTGGTGGAAAATACTTCGCAAAACTTGACCTGGCTGATGCCTATCTGCAACTGGAAGTCTCTCCAGAGTTCCGCCCACTGCTGACCATCAATACCCATCGAGGTTTATTCCAATACAACCGCCTACCCTTCGGAGTCAAGACTGCTCCTGATATTTTTCAACAGTTTATGGATACCATTCTGGCCGGCATTCCTGGAGTGGCAGCATACCTCGGTGATCTATTGATCGTAGGTACTTCGCAAGAAGAGTTAAGCAAGCGGATCGAAGAAGTCCTCCAACGGATTCAGGATAACGGACTCAGACTTCGCCAAGAAAAATGTGAGTTTTATTTGACTTTAGTCAAGTATCTCGGTTTTATCTTTGATGCCTCTGGTCGGCATCCGGACCCTGAGAATGTCCGGGCTATTCAACAAATGCCGACTCCCAAAGATGTTTCCTCATTGCGCTCCTTCATGGGACTAATCAGCTATTACTCGGTTTTTCTACCTTCCATGCACAATGTCCGACCACCACTGAATCACCTGCATGGAAAGGACGTCCCTTGGGTTTGGTCCAGCGAATGCGAGGCGGCCTTCTGTCAACTCAAATCAATGCTCAGTTCGGACCTGCTGCTGACCCATTATGATCCAGGCCTAC